AATTGAAAACAAGTCTTGCAAACTCGACATAACTCCTCTGTCACAAGCTCCCGAGATTATGCAGCGTCGCCGGCGGTGTCACATGATGGGTGCCGATGAGCAGGCCGGGTGTTAATTGGAAATAAGATTCCGTGATTTTTAGCTGGGAATAATTTATGAAGTGCAATGTGCGCGGCCCGCTGCGGATGGGAGCCTGACACAAACGATCGGAGCCCGCCCAGTGGAATCTTTAACCCATTTGGGATCCTTCTTGTCGGCTGGGAATTAAAATGGTATATTAAAAAAAATGAATAAAATATTCCAAGAGAGTTGTGGAAGTTTATCGGCTTCTCTCAGAGGACATGAAATCCATTTAGGGTAAAAGAACGTGAATTGGTAAACGAAGTTGTGATGGCGAGATCGCTATCAGACTGTGAGGGGGAGGAATTCGAGGGGAGAGTCTGCTGGGATATAAATATACTGCGTATGTATATATTTCTATAAAGGTTTTGTAGGCACTCGGAGGACCTCCATAGATGAATGAGGAGCACAATGTCACTGCTTTATGTTTCGGCGGGTCACAGCCCACTTTTCTGAAGGCCCTTGAGAGGGGCAGGTTGTGACTCGCCCAAACGTTGGTGCAATAAAGTGCTTATGTCATCCTCTTTCTTCATCTATGGAAGTCCTTTGAGTGCCTACAAAGCCTTTTTCTTCATTATCCTTCTAGTGTGGTGCAACGAGGCAATTAACTGGGATGGAGTGACGATACCGCCTTGCTATACATATAGAACCAGAGATACAGTTATGAAGCACGGAGCGATGGAAGAAGGCGGCCTGGTCTGATGTACATCATGTGGATGGCCGGGTGGGTGTGTCACTTACCTGGGGAAGAGATGGCACCGGGATGCACTATGGGAAGAAGACAAGCCGGCGGAGGCAGTGTGATGGGCAATGTTCTGCTGGGAAACCTCGGGTCCTGCCATTCATGTGGGTCTTATTTTGACACCGACCACCGACCTAAACATTGTTACTGACCAAGTCCCCCCCTTCATGGACACGGTACTCCCTTATGGCACTGGCCTCTTTCAGCAGGATAATGAGCCCGGCCACACTGCACACAATGGTTCAAGAATGGTTTGAGGAACAACAATGTTCGAGGTGATGACTTGGACTCCAAATTCTCCGGATCTCGATCCAATCAATCATCTGTGGGATGTGCTGGAGAAACAAGTCCGATCCATGGAGGCCTGGTACTTGGGGGGGAGGGGGTGGGGGAGAGCAGGACACAGTGGCCAAAGCATTGCACAATGATTGCCCCTATCAAGGCCGGGTTACTCAATGCGCCCCTCTACCCGCCAAACCCTCCCCCCTCAATGAAGAATGGCAACCAGATGGCGGGGGGCGGCAGGGTTGGTTTTTATTTTTTCTTTATTGTTTTTTTATCCCTTTTTTGTTTATTTGTATCTCCTCTTTTTTTTTACTTTTTCAAATTTTTAATTGTCTTATTATATTTTATAGTTGTTTATTTTATAATTGTTTACTTTATCACTTTTTTTATTTTAGTTATTTCTTATTTTTTACTTTTTATTTATATTACTTTTTACTTTTTTTTAAATTCACAATTTTATTGCTATCACACAGGAGCTAACAAGCCACCGTGTGATAGCATTTGGAGGTGACAGGTTCTCTTTATTGAACTTGTTACCTCCAATACAGGAGTTCTAGCGCAGCGCTGCGCTGGAACTCCTGTTGACAGCAGCTCTCCCTTCTCAGTGTTTACACGGAGCGGAGCTGAGAATGAATGAATGTGGACCAGGGGACCGCCGAAAACCACGGTGGGATGAGAGAAGGCCAGCGGGGAGAGGCAGCCAGGTGAGATAGGGGCAGTCCATAGAGGGGGGGGGGGTCGGACGGAGCTGCACGCATATTACCAGTGATCTCGGCAGCCTTGCTGGGATCACTTGTACTAGAACTCCGGCTTCCTAGCTGTACATTTAGCCCTGCGTTCCAGAAGCAGGGCTAAATGTAGGAAGAAGAAAAAAACTCCCCGCCAGGTGGCTGTGCTGCCCCTCTATTCTCTACTGACCGGCCTCGGTGGCCTTGTGGGAAATGCGGCCCTGCTTACAGCTCCTGTTCCTTTCCCCGCCAGTAAATCAGTTGTATAGATCCAGTAATCCTCCAATCAGCTTTTCTGCTATAAAACAAATCTCAGCAACATTTCTATTTAGTTACATTGTATGATTTTTGGTCTTTTTTCCTGATAGCTGACTTGTATCGTTTTCATAGTTTGCATATTTGATATTGAGTGGTTTTTAAATGTACATACTAAATACCAGTTTTTAGGGGTTATTAGCACTGAACAGGAAGTGTGTGCAGCAGGTGTGTATTTTTTTTTGCAATGTTATTATTTCTTACCGGAAGTTTATATAAGTTTGGGGCTTTGGATTGTTTTTGCGTTTTTATTGCAACTTCTTTGCAGTCCCTTAATTGGCACTTTTAAGATTGTTTCAGGCGTCGTATCATTAGATTGCCTCCTTCCCGTTTTGTCTACAATTTCCTGGCTCTATGATCAAGCCCCACTGGGGAGGCGAAATGCGTCAGTGGAAGGCAGCCTGTGGCGTACTTCTGTCCACTTGCGTTTAATAAAGTTGTAGAAGCAGTGTGGCTTTGCAGAGTGTGGCATTTGGGAGCTGAGGGGGCCCAGGGCAAGCCTGCATCAGTGACGTGCCGTGCCATGCCTTCTGGGCTGGGGGAGGTATCCCCCAGCCCGCAGAAGCTCCGCCCCGCCCCGTCGAAGCTCCGGCCCCATCCCGTGGAATTCCCCACTCCAGATTGGTAACCAAGCTGTGTGGGGAGGAGGTGGGGAGGAGGAAGGGAGGAGACAGGGAGGAGCCTCCCTGTCCCTCACTTGCTCGTCACTTCTGATGCATCGAGATGGGGTTTTTTTTCCTTTTTTTTTGATTGGACAGCTTGGACTAATGGTGCTTTGCCATTGGTCTAAGCCATCCACAGAGCTTACGCCTCTAACACAGAGTAAAGGCTGTGACAGCTCTTGCCTCACTATGTTAGGTTACACAAGAAGTGGGGAAGCCCTCTGCTGTGTAACCTAACTACCTGCCAAAAGCCGAATGCAGCTCTGCCTGTAATTAACAAGCAACGCTCCGCCCATGACAGGTGACACAGGGGGTGAGGGGGGCGGAGACTTTCCCTGCTGTGTATCCTGTAACAAGCCGATCTGAATGGAGAAAAAGCTGTCAGCTTCAGACTTGAAGCTGACACCTTTTTTCTTCATAATACTAGGCAAGGCTCCGCCTCCCCTGACCGCACGTCCCTGGCCTGCATCTGTGGCTGGGGCTACCTGGTGGGATCAGGGCCGGTGCTAGGATTTTTGCCAACACAGGCAAAGTTGAATTTTTGCGCCCCCCCCCACCACCCCGCAACCAGAAGATTGGCTGATATAAGTATTAACAACGTAACATTACAGGTATTTATAGAGCGCTGACAATTCAGTGCACATCAGTCCCTGCCATCGAGGAAATTACAATCTAAGGTCCCCATCTCACCTACATACAAGGGCCAATTTTTTTTTCTCAGACAGGAGCCAATTCACCTTCCAGCTATCTGGAGGAAACCCACACAGGACAGGAAGAACACACAAACTCTTTTTATATAGTGACCTGGCTAGTATTTGAACCAGGGACCCCCCCAGTGCTGCAAGGCAGACGTGCTAACCACTACACCACTGTGCTGCCCGTAATATCTGGGTCTTTGTATTGTGCATACGATAACTGTCACCAGCACGCCTATGTCTTGTGCCATAATCCATCTTCTTTATTGATGCAGACTGTAAAAAAAAACAACGTTTCGGGGCCACGCAGGGTCCCCTTCATCGGGTCTCAGTATGACATTGGTCTAAAACCTGATGAAGGGGACCCTGCGTGGCCCCGAAACGTTGTTTTTTTGACAGTCTGCATCAATAAAGAAGGTGGACTATTGGCACAAGACATAGGCGTGCTGGTGACATTTATCATATATTTGAGGATGCGCGGCGCTATCCGTGGTTACTACAGCACCCTCCTTTATACATAGGGGTTCCGGGAAGCAGTGCAGCAGCTCCTCTCCAAGTTTGTATTGTGTGTGACATAGGTTCAGTTGTGGACATTCTCCAGCATGCTGGGGAATGCCCCCACAATCGATTTGGATTGTTCACTCTACTCCTATAGGTCCACATTTTCTCTTCCCTTCTTGTAAAGAATAAGTGCGCTTCCAGCTTCCTCTAATCCTTCCCACCATCTGGGTCAACGCAACGCACCGGTGGTCCGGTGTAACCTAACTACCTGTCAAAAGCCGCGCTGCCTGTAATTAACACACAGCGCTCCGTCCATGACAGGTTACACAGCGGAGAGGGGGGGGGGGGGGGGG